CTCTCTCTCTCTCTCTCTCTCTCTCTCTCTCTTCTCTCCTCCCCCTCTTTGTATTTGTTAGCCCATCAAAGTCTTAATTATAATAATTATTGCAACTTGTAACAGAGGCTACTTAACGTGGTAGGCTAAACAATCATCATTAACCTCCAACAACACAACCTACATCACTTAGGAGGCGGGCTGCTTCGAACCTACACATATTTGTCACGACTGTCTGGGCAGAGTGAGTTGCATCATCATTCTATGCAAGGAGAAACAAACACAGAGACAGAGTTACTAAATTTTAAAAAAAAATCAAACAAAAAACATACCCCAAAGTGGGAATTAAACGTATGCGTCTTACGCACGGCGATGAGCTCAGGTACAACGCCACAGACGCCAGTACGGTCACTCAGTGCACACAACAAGCAATTAAACGACAGATGGTCAGGTGGGACGGGAGTTAGGGAGGAAAAGGAAATATGAGGGTTGGGAAAAGGGGGGGGGGAATCAGCAGCACTGATCAAAATACCTCTCGATATAATTAATTTATCCCCCATCTCCACCTCTCCCCCTCCCCTCCCCTCTCCCCAACTCGTTCGATTTGATCCCAACGCATAATTCCCGGTCATCTTCATTAGCCCGTCGGACGCTGAAGAGAGGAGGGGAGTGAACTAGAGCGGCGAGCATTTATTGAGAAAAAAAAAAGCCGGCTCATAATCAGATAAAAATCGACAGAATGAGCGTCTACTTTCCTATCCCCAATGTAGGGCTATTCAGGGGGCGAGGATGAGTAAGGGACGCTACCCGGTATGGCCCGCGGTGCCAGAAGGGGAGATTATATCGATCTATTTCTTCCTCTCTAAGAGTGACATCCCTTGACAAAGCCTCGACAGTGAGTCATCTTATGATCATGCGCGCTCCTGTTGTAAGGAAAGACGGCGGTTCGAGTTTGAGTAGGCCTAAAGTAAAGAGAGGCACATCGACGGAATAACATTCGCTTAGTGGTGCAAGGAAAAAGAGAGACAAACAGGTAGAGACAACGGTGAGAGAGAAAAGAAGTAGGGCCGGGTCTATCCATGGCACCGTCCAACCATCTGACAGACAAAAAATAGCCCTGTAAAAGAGAGCTATCTCAATACTTCTGGAATTTGAGTGTTTTGATCAATGAGTCATCCACTCGAAGTGAAATGGCTTAAATGAAGGAGAATCTCTATCAGCGCATTGGTTCGCACTGGGGCGTACCATTTGACTCAATTTGGAACCTTACTGAAGGACAAGAGGGGGAATGTTGCACGCGCTCTCGACTGTAACGAGAATGCATGGGTTTTAACCTTCATTTGCGCGCCCATAGTGAACACCAGTGTAGCGAAGTTTTCATAGAGAGCAAAGACCAGCAGCCAAGACAGTGTCCTGTCGAGGACATAATAATAATATCGGCGAAGAGTACAGTAAGAGCGAAAGGAGATGTTTTCGTAAACTGTACAACAATCAACAAGGATATAACAATAATCGCACCGCTCTTGGTGCAATACGGGAATACTCACAAACATGTGTGAGTGTGTGTGCGGCGGGGGGTGGGGGGGGAGGACAGCGGGGAGCCAAGTTCCAATCCGACTTTTAACCTTCCAGCGAAAGTCTCCAAGAAGCCAATGAAATCGCAACCGAGTGTCTTATCTGTGCAGGCTAAATCACGAAAATGTGGACTGCTTGTTCCAAGTAAAGAGAAGCACATCGACCCAGTAACAGTCACTTGAGTGCTGAGAAAAAGCAAGACAGACAGACAGAAACAACAAAGAGAAAGTAAAGAAGTAGAACCTACCAGTGGCGCTCTCCGACCATTCGCAATGTGGTCTGTAGACAAGGCACATTGTCAACACACCACAAAGATCTCTCTCTCTCTCTCTCTCTCTCTCTCTCTCTCTCTCTCTCTCTCTCTCT